CCCGGCTTGCCCCATTCCTCTTTTTTATTTTTTTCATCTTTCTTCTTTGTTCTTCTTCACCTTTTCAATTTGTTTCATTCTTTTTCGTTTTGTGTATATACGTATCATTCTTTGTTCACGGTATTATATTGAAATGATAGATTGTGTGTGCATTCATTACTTTCATCTTTTGCAGGTTGGTGATGAAGTAACCTTGTGGAGTGAGAAGAAGGGGAGCATTAGTACTTACGGTTTTATACATATATATAAACCACTGGTTGTGAAGATAATGAATCCCTGGGTATATATTGCTAATCTAATACTATCTACTACTTAATATGAACTTATGAAGTATGTTCTTGTTGGATGTCCATAGTTATGCATTACGCACTAGGTATATATACTGATCAGTCTGATCGTAAGTACTGTAAGTATACAGGAAAACGAGATGTGAAATCGACAAATGCCACCCCAGATGATAAGCTGTACAAGAGAAGACACATGGATATACAAAATAAACAAGAGCTGTAGCATTATGTAATTGCGTTGCTCACGCCGGTGTCAAACACTATTAGACGGAGATGACCCAGATAGGAATTCATGCGGTAAGTGAACCACCAAGACACGAGAGAGAGAGATGCCAATTAATGAGATAGAGATGGTAATAACCCCTGCTGCACCGGGTATGTCGAGGCCAGAAAATGTCCAGAGAAATAAGAAGAAAAAAGAATATCCACAATTGATGAGATCGTCCATCCATCCGTCAATCCGTAAACGCCGTTTCTGCGTGTATACCAACAGATAGCATGTACCATAGCATGCCAATCTTGAGAAAAATAAAAGTACCAATGAAAGGTAAAATCAAATGCACGTCACCGGTGATGTACATCAACCTGACTAGAATAGTCGCTTAACGTCAACTATTTCGACGTTTCCTGGGCGGTCTCGTTCCATATGGAACCACCAGTCCCTTCCACTTTTGTGGCTATAGTTCCATGATCCGGTGCAGGTATCTCGGTCCCAAGGGAGTGCCGTCGTAGACGAAAGACTCATCGGCGTCGCTGGTGTTGTAGGGGTGTTTGGACTGGTGCCCAGCGCGGACCGACTGCCGATGCTGCCCCATCCAAAGCGTGAGGTTGTAGTTGAGGTCGGCGATGGCGGCTCTTCGGGCGCCGGTTTCACGTGGCCCTTGCCGCCAAAGCAATTTACTCCAACTCCAGCAGCATATGTAAGGGACTGGCTGGAGGCCAGTACATGTTTCCAATCAACTAAACCTCCATCACCATCCTGCCCTGGTATATCTGGACGAAGGATAAATCGCGGAATTGAGATGTCCTTCTCACTTGTCCTACAGCCTATCCTCCCCATGAAAGCTGGCATCCGGAAGTCATACACGGTGACCGGACCTTCGTGATCGTCGGGCAAGACATCATTCTTAGGCTGCACACCACCTATGCCGAGCTCGTCCATGTCCATATCGGACCCATCATCGGAAAGTTCGTCCAATGCATTGTCAGGAACGTACGAGTCCGAGTGATCAGTGATGAGCAGCCGCATTCCGGTTTCCGTGTCCTTCGCTGCCATATCAATAAAAGTCTGTGCTCGTATCCGAGCAGAAGTCAAGTTGTTCCCAGCGGGCAGGGCCATTGGTCGGGTCGTAACAGAGCCGTGGGAGCTACGGGGAAGGCTGTAACGGTCTGGCTTGAGCAGTGCTTGCCCGCGTGGTATCGGCTGGCATACAGCCTGGAGGACTCCCGGGGGTTCTATATCCGAGGGTGCTCGCAGTGCTTCAAGGCGAGGGAAGCCCACGGACAGAATACTCTGAGCTAGATGAGAATTCGGGGACTCTGTATGTCGCGGTGGTTTCACAAACGGAGCGTAATCGAGCCTGCCGAGCCCGGCGGCAGAGTCGGGTCCCGTAATGTCCCAATGCAAATATCGAAGCGTCGAAGAGGCGAAAAGCGGTTGAAAGACAATCCCATCGGCATTCAGCGTAGGTTTCTTGTTGCTCTGGACGAATTTGAATCGTTCCAACTGTCTCAGTGATGACAAGATTTTCGAGATCGTAAGCAACGAATCGATGTTCTGTTCGATAAGGGCCAGGGTCTTGAGGGAGCGAGACTCTGGACGCATGGCAAATTGGCAGAGCCCTGAATCAGTCACGCCCGGGAGGTTCTCCAAGCGGAGCGATTCGAGCGACGGTAGACACAGAAGCGCGCTGTCCGCAAAGGCATCCGCGTCAAAGTTGGAAATGCAAAGATTTCGCAGCGACGGCAGGAGGCTGACCATGCGAAGAAAGATGCTCGGTTCCAGGGCGTTGTTCTCGTTGACGCCATAAAGCATCAGCGTCTCCAGATTAGTCCATGAGACATGGTAGTTGAGGAACTCAAACATCTGCGAGGGGCCCAAGCTCCAGGGGCATGATGTGCTGCGAGGGGATTCTTCAGAGACCGCCGGGGCCTCTCCTAGAACCCATGTGTGCTCCTTCAACTTCCGACGCGTAGACAACGCATGTGTCAGACGATCGAACTCATGGTTATACGGGATGGTCAAGCCGAGCAATCGTTCCAAGTTCGGGCACACCATGACGACCGAGGCGACTAGGTCTCGGTATTCTTGCCATTGAGTGCTCTGCTTCACTGTTGTGAACAACAGGTCCATTTGGGGGACTCGAAGCTCAAGAACGAGATTGGCCAGCAACTTCCTCTCCCGGAGGGTTCGTCTGAGCAACTTCAAGCGGCTTCCCCTTTTGAGTCGGTATTTCTTCAATTGCGACGGCGAATCGTTTCCAATGATGTGTATGCGGTTATACCTGGATGCAAGCCTGATTAGCATACGCGAGAATAGCTATGACGAAGGCCTGGCTGAAAGTAAACCAATATACTCACAACTTCGCTCTGACTCCCTTCTCCCACGCCCGGCAGGTCAAGGAAAGAGCGTGCAAGTCGCGCTGAAAGCATGTTAGGCATCCGGTCTGATTCGGGCCGACATGTAAAAGCTCCAATTGGTCTAGAATGACATCGTAGACTTCTTGCGGTAGTCGCTTGAACACCGACTCCAGTATCTTATCCAGAGAAGCAGCGGAGTCGAATACGCGAGCTGGTGATGTGGGAGAGATAGGAGAGTAGACTGTAGGGGCAGTAGAGACACTGTAATTGCTCTTGAAGGAAGAAACGGATGACGTTCGAGAGGAGACCGGCTGCACTGTCACGGCATATGCTGCATCCTTGCAATGTATAAATTCGCTTTGAGGAATGGGGCTGAAGGGCACAGCAGCGCTCTCGGGTCTACTGGCGACGACACTCATTATGAACACCGGTGTTGCATTTGACGAGCACCGGGAGAGGGCGCACAGGGGAGTAAAAAAAAAAAAAAGTAGTGGTGGTGGTGGTGGTGGTGGTGGCGGCCTGTATGAATAGTGCGCAAAGACCGTTGGAGACAGAGAAAGGGGGGAAGGCGCTCGAGTGGGGAAACGATGGTCGAAAAGAACGGACGGCACAGGAATGTATGAACAGTAAATTAAGAGGCACACCAGCTAGAGCATGTATATACGAAGGAGTGTGGATGTAAGGAACGAAAAGGAAGGACACACAACAAGCAACAGTAAGAAATCACAACGAAAGTTGTAATCTGATGGCCAAAGGAAGTAGTACTTGAGAAAGAGAGGGAAAAAAGAAAAAAAGACAGCGCGGCGCTATTTTAGGAGAACGAGGGGAACATTAGCGTGAGAGCGGGCGCCAACAAGTATCAGGACCACACATTTGGTCGGCTGAAGTTAGTTTGGACGCCCAAAAGAGCTTAACGCAGGACCATTGATGGCACGAGAAAGTCAAGAGGCAGGCCACCGCGAACACGCCACTTCTCCGAGTGTGTACATTCAGTAGTCAAGAGTGGTCGGACTACCAGATAGGAGGACTTGGGACGGCAGTCGAGGGCCGATCGTCCCCACCGAAGGAACGAGGATCTTAGGTTCACTAGTCCGTGGTGAGACTGCAGGGCATCGGCATCACAGCGACTCGTGCTGTAAAAGGAAAAGCGGAGACCTCGGCTCAAACATCACTCCATCCCGATATTCCTCCATCCAATACTGACAGACCCAAGGAAGAGCAGCCGTCGCCAGGGGGGAAGGGAGGAAGCGATGCTCGGTTATGACGGGCTGCATCAGCCGTACGGAGGATAATGTGAACTAAGCAGAAGGAAACTGTCGGGCGACTCCAGGATTCAACTGCCAATGCAAAAGCGGACAGAGGCCCGTGAACTAAATCGTTAGCTGGAGGGTTAGTCTTTTGGAGACAGTAGTGGCGGCCGTAGTATCACCCCAAACGAGTAACGATGCGACAATTCAGTGGGAGGATGAGCGACTCCGCAAATGTTTCGCAGGACGGCGCATCATCATTATCATCGCCAGAAGATCAAAAGGCCTGAAAACCGTCAATTGGCTTTGTTGTTTTGATGGTGTAGACGGTAGCACACCGTAGCCCCGATCCCACCCAACCGAACCAAGAGTTTGGGATGGGTCGAGGATGACGACGGAGGTGCAGGAGAAGGAAGAAAAAAGGAAGGAAAAGGAGGTGGCAGCCCCGAATCCATGGAATCCCGTGCAGGGGATTGCCTCGACACCCGCGGAACGAGGCAGGAAGACTATACCGTGTAGAGTCTAGCGCGGTGACCGGGCTGGCACTAGCGTCAGGAACAACCACGCTAGTCCCGAATTGAGATGATACGCTACGAAAGCCCCTTTTTCAGTGCGCATTATTGCTCTCTTTGCTCAACTTGCCCCGGACAAGGTTGATGATCCAGTAGTTGGGGTCTTTTCTGAAGTTTATTTATACCATCCAATGGATTGATGACGTCGATGCAGCTTACGATCACCATCCTGAGAGGATTTTTCACAATATTACGAGAGAAAAGGCAGCTATTATTTATCGTCTTCAAAGGGAGTATTGAGGTCGATAGTATGTACATACCATGAGAGATGAAAGTATCATATGTGTAAGTGTACGCTGTCTGTGCATATACGTATATGCAGCAGACACGCAGGCAACAGAAATAACGAACTAACCTGCACGTCTCCTGAAGACGAACCACCGTTATCACCCGTTTAGTCGTCTTTAGTCTAGTCTCCATGGCGATGGGTCCCTTTCCAGCCATCGGCTCGCACCGTCCATTAACCATTGGCTGTTGCGTTGGACCCATTTGTGTGTAGCAGAGGCCTCAGTGCGTATGAGGGGAATATGTGTGTGGAAAGTGGAAACCCACGCAGCCTGCAGTTAGTCAGCCCCCCGTTTTTGGAGCATCAATCTCAGACAACGATGGTGAAGGAATTATACCGCGCTCGGAGATAACTCTCTCAATGCGTTCCACCTGTTTCATCATATAGATTGGTTAATATGGATGGCAATATACAATGATTGTTGTCCGAGCTGAATAACTTGCATATAAATGTCACTAATCGCCATCATCCACACAGCCGATACCTACATTGTAAGTACATAGATACTAGATACTAGTACATCCTCTTAAATCCGAACTCTCCTCCCCCCTCAATTTCATCCTGGACTGATTACACAGCATAATATGCTAATGTATAAATAACTACACAAATATCCCGAAACCAACCGATCCGAACAAATGCCGCATGATACACTCCACTCTGCTCCGGCAAGTGCAACATGATACAACCCTACAACCACTGCCATTTTTCTTCCGACCGTTCCAACCCCTCCCTCCCCCTGTATTGATGTATATAAATAAGCACTCTCTGTATCACCATCACCACCACCACCATCCACACAATGCCATGGAATAAAAAAAGAAAAGAAAAACAAAACAAGGAACAACAGTAGCTTGTTTCACATACTATCACACCTAACTAACTTAGTACGTACATGTAACTCAAGTTCTTCCCTCGAGTCAGGGGTCCGTGGGGCCGTCCGTCCGGTGGTGGTGGTGGCTGCAGCACCCCCCCTGCAAGTGTTGCTTCGGTCAACTAGAACCCTTCTCGCGATTGGCTCGAGTACGTTTTACTTTTGTATTGATTATTTCGGATCTTTGCGAAGGGAAATATGATCTACACTTTGGGTTCCTTGTTCGGAGTTCGTTGGTTCCCTTTTCTGTGTGGTTGCAGGGGAACTAAAATTCGGCCAAGGTTTTTTGGTGATGCGAACTGCAGTGGAATGGGGTTCGGGATATCCGTGGGGGATACATATTCTATACTAGTACAAGGGTACTGCTATCGAAAACTCAACCCTAAACAAACACATTCAGAACCTCAAACTACTTATTCATTCAACCATTTATTTACACTGAATTGCTTTCTCCACCAACCCGCACTACAAACAAAGGAATACATACATCTTACCAACAATCCTCCACAAAATAATAGAAAAAAACAAAGAAAACGATCATCACAGTTATATACCATAAAAGTCCATATCTACCACCCGCACGGCCCCCAAAGCGACCACCACCACCACTTCAAAACCAAGGCATTTAGTATATACTAAACTACTAAGTAGTGACAAAGTTATACCCCATCTAGTAAAGTCTAATAATGATAATCCCTTTCCCCCCAAAGACGTGAGTCAGTGAACGCACCAGAATATCTTTCATTGGCTGGTGTGTGTTCGTGTCTCAGAAACTTTCACACAAATCATCACCGTAACTACTTACTTATCCAAATATAGTTAGGTAGGTATCACACAATATCACATCGCATTGCATCTCAGCTCGGCATTTACTTTTGATTCTTGCATATTCGTTTATTTATTCATGTACATTGTAGGCTTAGCAGTGCATTAAGCACAGTATGTACTAGGATCTGATCTGATAGTATCTAGTCCCAATACAACACAACACAATCAGAAAAACATATATAAATAGCCTTGAAGGAATCCATCTGAGCTCAGCGCGATCAGATCAATAGTCGTGGGTAAGATACCACTACTCACCACCAATCAGATAAATCGATCTTCTCTTCCCGTGTATGTATGTCAGACAATGTCTCGTTTCACCGAATATTCCTGTTTTAGTCTTATCATCGGACAAAAATAGCTCTGGCCAGTGCTTTTGGCATCCACGATTCATGGATTTACTTAGGTTCAATGTTGGTTTGTTGGGTCGGTTTCATCCGAGGGTCCATCGGGGAGGGGGGGTTGGTTTGAGAAGATGTATCCAGTATCCCCACCTAGTATTTAGTCTCTAGATAATTTTAGATCGGGGTTATACGGGTAGATACTAGATACTAGATAGATATGTAATGTGTAGGGGAAGGGGTGTTCGTCGGATGCGGCTTGTCTTGACCTGATTGATAATATAAATGTGTTTCAGATGGTTTATTTTGTGCCGTCTTCGTGGGTTTTTGGTTTTAGGGTTGGCTGGGTCTGGACTTTCTCTCTCTCTCTGCTACAATTCACTCGCTTACTGCACTGTAGTAACTACGATCCGGATACTACGTAGACCTAGAACATTTCGTAACAACTTGTGTATTTATTGGCCTCTGACCAATAGACAATCTCAAGCAAGCGTCCTCCTGCGCCATGCTGCCGGATAATAACGCCCCTGCATCAACTCTTCACTATGTTGTGCGTGTTTGTCACTCATGCTTGTAACTCCTCCGCATGCGAAAGACAAGGATTCGGGAACAAGACCAATACGAGTTCGCAAAAGCTAACCGCAAATTCAAGGCAGCACGTGGGTCGACCGGCGATGGAGCCAGGCGACTGCCGGATATCACAAGGTTTGACGGAAGAACAAAGTGCAAATGTAAGGTCAAGTATTCGTGGACCAGGCTCATGTCCCTTCCGTGCAGGACAAAGCCGGATCGGTGAAGTATATCCAACCATCTATATCCAGATGACCAGTGAAAAAGAATCAAGACATGGAAGCCGCAGATACCGATAAAGATATGAAGAGAGCAAAGTATGATCAAACCACTGCGGGGGACTAATACTGCTGTTACCATAGCAAGAAAAATAAACAAAAGCTAAGGTGTAAACCACGAATAGCAAACCAGAAACGAAAGGTAACAACAGCTAAGCCCTAATCACCCACGACGGCATGTACAAAGCAAAAGGGTTCAAGAAATAGGCACAAATCACAACTCCATTATCATGCATCAGGCCATAATCACATGTCGAAATTATCATCAACGTTGAAAATACCGGGCTCGCCGCCCTCGTGTGTCCTCTGAACCCCACTCATGCGGTGGTTAGCAGCGCTTGCCGGCTGCTGAGGTCGTTGCCAAGTCTCAGCGTCCTCTTCCATGTGGTCACCAGGCTCATTGGTAAAGTGGTGATCCATGGAGCTTTCGTTAACAAAGGTGAAGCCCTTGAAGTTGGCCTGCAGACCGGGAGATAACGGCGTCGATGCCGGCATAAACCCATTGGCAATGGCAGCTGCACGGTCGTTGAGGGAGTTGTTGGTCTCGAGCGCATTCGTGAACTCGGGATCAAAGTTGGAAGTGTCAGTGTCAGACTTGAGCGTTGGCTTGAACGGAGGGATCACCTCCTTCCGGCCCAATGCCTGCCAGTCGACGTCGTCAAAGAATGGGTGTGCCATAAGCTCCTTTGCATCGCCCTTGGCACCAAGGCGGTGCTTGGGGTTCCGGTTGAGCAAGCCCTTTACGAAGTTCCTTCCCTCCGTGCTAAGAGCGTCCCGAGGGAACCGGACTTTGCCGAAGGCGATGTTCTTGTACATCTGCTGCGTGTCCTCGGCGTAGAATGGACTCCAACCGCAGCACATCTCAAACACGAGAACTCCAAGGGACCAGAAATCGACCATCTTGGTATATCCCTGTTCGTCAAGCAATACTTCCGGAGCCAGGTACTCAGTCGTACCACAGAACGTGTTCGTCGTGTCGTTTTGGGTCAAGTTGGCCTTGGACAGACCGAAATCACAGAGCGCGATGTGACCATTCGCATCCAGCAGAATGTTCTCCGGCTTGAGATCCCGGTAAACAATATCGTGATCATGAAGGTGCTGCAGAGCTAGAATGAGCTCGGCAATGTAGAACTTCGCTCTGGCCTCCTGGAATCGCCCCTCCTTCTGAAGATGCCAGAACAGCTCACCACCGGACATGTAGTCTGTGACAAGATAAAGATCGGTGGGTGTTTGGAAGGAGAACTTCAGGCCGACGATGAAAGGTGAAGCCGCCATGGCTGTGCGGACCAAGATATTCCGCTCCCCCAGAGTATGTGCGACCTCCTTCTTCTGAATGATAACCTTCTTCGACAGGACTTTCATCGCGTAGATACGACGCGTGTCCTTCTTCTTGACCTGATAGACCTGGCCAAACGTCCCCTTGCCGATGAGCTTGAGGATTTGGAAGTCATTCGGCCCAACCTGCTTCTTCTCTGTCCGCTCGAAGCGCATTTCCATGTGGATCTCCCCAGACACTTGAGAGTCACCCACGCCACGGGACTTCAGAGGGAACCATCCTTCTAGCCGGCTGTTGTCATCCTTCAAGTTGATGCAAAGGCGCACGTGGCCCAAAAATGCTTCCTGATCTTTGCGATCATACACCGAGACATCTACCTCTGACTGATCACCAAAGACATCGCTATAAGGTAATAGTTAGCCACATACCCTTCGTTAACATGATGACAGGAGGATGAACGTACAAGACCGCTTCGTGGTTCCAATGCGGGTCGGTCACTGGGGCACGCCCCCGAGGCTCACCGTCGAGCGCGCTGTTGTTGCTGCTTTGCCGACTCTTCATGGGTATCGCCATTGGGCGTCCAGCCTCACGGTCCGACTTCTCTTGTTCTTTCTGTTGGCGTTCCAAGGTAGCCGCTTCTTCGTCCTGGGCGCTCTTTGAGATGACTTCATTCCACTCAAAAACGCAGACGACGTACGGATCGAACCCAGGTCGGAGCCCTCTAGCTTCGGATATGTTCACGTAGAGCTTGCCCTTCAGTGAGGCCACCGGAGGACCAGTTGGTGAGGGAGTATCTCTTTCAGGGGGGAACGCTTCGTTGAGCTTGCCAGCGATTTCGTCGGCTGCATTCGCCGATTCATCGGAGGGCGGCTGGGCAGGTTCCGACGGATGAGGGGAGGAGGTGGGTGGCTTCTTGTCGGTTTGCGAACCTTCATTGGACATTGCTCGAGGAGTAAGAGGAGGTGTACTCTTTAGACGCACGAGATCCGACACAGTTCCAGTTAGCTTCGCCAGATTCTCAGAAGACATAGACACATGTGGTTTTTCGTGTTCGAGAAGGGGAGCATCCGGCAAACAGAACGCATCTGAAGCAGGAAGAAGGGAGGGATTGGAAAAGTGGGAGGCAAGGACTGGATCGTCAGAGACGCTTGAGACGGGAAGAGAGGTGTGACGGCGGGATGTTTGTTCAGGAGATGACATGCTTCCGGAGGGGGAGAGGTAATTTTTCAAAGTATTGAAGATGGAGCCCATGCCCTTATCCGGGGCAGAGGAGCCCAGTTCAGCCTCATCCGATTCTTTCTGCAAAAGAGAACAAGCGGAACTGTAGGGGGGAGTAGGCAAATTCGTTGGGGGCAACGTTTCCGGCTGCAATGTGTGTGTCTCAAGGCTCTGGTCCGGTGAAGCGGTAGATGATTGGGTATCCGAAGCCTCGGGGCGCTCCATCATAACGAAGGAGCCCGAGGGTGAGGAACCTCGATCCCGTGTCCCTGTGGGGGCCGCATCCGACTGGGGGTTTTGCGCGGAAGTAGAAGTCTCAGAAGACCAGGTGTTGGAGGAACGGGACTTATCACCAGAGGGAGAACCAACCTGGAAATAACTGGAATTTATGGAAGGCAGACGCTTGTCCGCTAGATCGGGCTGTGGAGTCGAGATCCCAGTAGGAGTTGGACTGTTGGAGCCGATTTGATCCTGATTGTCGTCTTCTTGCGTACCATTGCTAGCGTACGAGTCAGCCATGATCAGGAAGGCCAGTGTTGTTGAAATTATGCATGACAGCGTAATTAAGACCCCCCATGGTGCTATGTATGGTGGACTAATAACGCAAAGACAGAAGACATATGACAAGCGATTCTGAGTATGGCAGAGTTGGGTGCTAGGTCTTGAGCTGGTATCGAAAGAGCAATGGAGTGGCAGTTTTCATGCAGAGCGATTTTTCTTCCCCTCTTCAGCCCGTGCGGCATATAGTCATTGCTTGTCGCGGATGACTCCCGCACGCGACATGATCCATGGGCAGCGCCGCAGAAACCGAGGATGGGAAGCTTGCATGCTAAACATGACAACACAATGAGGGCTGAAGTACGGCAGTCATCCGCCGTTGAGCGAAAACTTCGCACCCAGCTCTTTCATCCTTTTACCACACACTCTCTTGCCACACCCGGCATACGATGGAAATCCAGACCAAACAGCAAGAACGAGGTGAAAGTCGCGACACTGTACTCACCTCCGGGATCTGGGCTGCTTCAATGAGCCCGCATCTCCATGCGGCCCTAGTCCACTCTGAGCAGCAGCCATCTTTATGTTTCCATCCGACACCCAAAATCCACAACCAGGAATACCGAGGGTCGAATCTGTCGGTCGCACCGCTGTGATAGAAGTAGTGATGTCAAAGCGACGAGATGATCGAGGACAGATCGCTGAAGGTATGACGTCTTTCGACGAGCAAAGTTGAAACGTGGGAATCAAAAAGGTGAGTCAGACGCTGTTGGGAGGTTGACAAGTCAAGGAAGTTTGCGGGAGGATGAATCCGATCGGGTGCGGATGGCGAAGAGCAGGGAGGGGTAGAAAAGCGGGATGTCCTGTTACTGTTTGGCAAGTTGTTAGGAGGAGAGTGTCGACGGAGCCGTGGAAGGGAAAGTGGGTAGAGCTGATGGGGTCGACGGCCAAGGATGAAGAGCGATGAATGACATTTGAGGGGAAAAATGGGAGGGAAGGGAAAAAAAAGGCACGGAATGAGAAGCACCAACCTGGAGGGTTTTACTCACAGACGAAACCCAATGAATTCCCGGGGCGAACTTGACGAAGAAAGGCACTTATGGGCTCCAAGAACTCAATCAGTCAGTCTCGGGCAGGCAATTAATGCCCGTCAATGTGGGCGACGGAGCCTTAGCGTCAATCAGGCGCAGACGGACAAATGGCGGGCGGACGCCGGCGGATGGCGGGTTTTGTACCAGATGGCCAGAACTGATAGGAAGGAAACACGAAACAAGGATGGGTGGAATTCTTTTTCTAAAACAATAAGAAAGAAGTAACCCCGGCAGATGTCAATATACGAAGAGGGAAGAAGGTTTAAAAAAAAAGGGAAGATGAAATTCGGAAATCACGTTTTGACGGTTAATTCAAATTTGAGGTTGGCGATGAGGTGGCGTTAAAACGAACCAAACCCCCCAATAGTCATAGACCTAAGCTGCCGCTGAAGCCGCTGAACGGGTCAGGGACTGCGGATGGGGACCGTCGACTTGTGGTAACTTTCGCGACCGAGATTCTGGGGGAGGAGAAAAGAAAGTTGGATGGCAAAAACGCGTCCAAAAAAAAAGGTTTGGAAGCAGTACAGGAGCTGAGTGAGTTACAGGATCTGTTGGGTGAGGGGGAGTGGTTGAGGTTAAACCAAAGGAACCAGCGAGGATGGGAGAGGAAGAGGTAGAGTGAGATAGTTAGAACCAGCGATGGCTCTGTGTGGAAGAAACACGACCAGAATACGATGTGACCTCCTCTTTCCTTCCCGGTTCTATTCTCGCACCAGAACACAGGTCAGAATTGGTGGTGAAGCCTTTTTTTTAGGTCTGGTTGAACGTGCTTATACTATAGGATGGGTCTTATGGGTGATGACCGGTCAAGGGTGGTTTGTTTGATGATGATGATGATGATGATGACTCCTTCGAACCGATTACTGTTAGCCTGGCACAGCTTCGGAAACGCTACTGGTGAAGGAAGTAGCCTAGTAGTGGTCAAGGGTGCATTGTTGTCTCGGAGCGTCCCTTAGAATTGGAGGCAAATGCCACCCATTGGAAAGGGAACGAATCAAAGCGCGGCAGGAGGCGTAAGTAAAAGGAAAAGGGAAAAGGCCTCAGACGGAGTGGAGATGGCGGTGCTGCTGGCAAATAGACGAAGCGCTGTATGGGATGGAACCACTGGTGAAGTCAACCACGAACCACATCGCTTTGGTGGCTGGAAGAGGAGACACACAGTAACATTTATCTAGCGGTGATGAAGAAGGAAGACGAAGAAGGAGGGGGACAGTTCTTGGAACGGATAGAGATGCCTTGGAAGAATGATAAAAGAAAGGAACAGGAATAGAAAAAAACTCCTGGATGATTAATTCACTACCACTACCATCATCTCCTCCTTCTTCTATCTTCTTTTTATTCTGCTGGAGGGGGGTCAGCATGGTTGAAATAATTGCCATTTCTCCTTCTTTCTTCCCTTCCCTCCCACTCACCCCCCTCCTTCAAGAGTAAAAAAAGAATAAGTTATTATCCGTGTAAAGCAAAAAGGATGAATGACAGGCTCCCAAGCCCGTCGATGACCGCAGAGGTCCGATGATGTGCCGGTTTGCCTCCCTTCTCCTTCTCTCTTGGGCCCTTCTTTGGACAAGGATGGGCTATCCGCCCGGTGGACATGGATGGATGGATGGATGGATGGGTGGGTGGGCTGGGTTGTGGGAACCGGGAATGCTCCAAAGTCAAGAAAACCCGCTGCATAATTCCAACAACCAGTCACTGCCATGGAATGGGTCCGTCTGTTCTTTAGGCTTCTCTATCTTTCCCATTTGCCAAAACTGCCACTAGATAGATACCCGAGTAACTCCTTCCTTCCTCCCTCCCTCCTTCCCTATACTACTATCTATACTACTTACTATTAAACAGCATTAGTCCGACCAAATAATTCCACATTATCACCCAATATCCCCAACTAGAGATGCAATAATGACCTGCAGATACTCTTTTTGCCCATTGTAATCCTCGGTAGAAAGCTTATGCTCCTCCACGGCCACCCACTAGTACCCTCAAAATTCCGGCAGAACATGCCAATAGCGAATTCCTCTTTTTAGCTAAAATGGATATGGTTTTTCTGCTTTTTCTCCTTCTTCTCCTCTTTCAACTCTCTCCACCATCTCCTCACGCTAAGTGCCCCTCCGACAAGAAGGTAAGTAAATCATTGAAAATGCCACCGGAGATCATTTTCTCCGCCGCCACCTCCTCATCTCTCATTATTCTTAATTCTTATCCTTCTTTTTTGGGGGGGTTCCTTTCGCGGTTGGATTGGATGGAGGGAGGGTGGGGTAGGTACCAGTGGAGTAGTAGTTACTTGGTCACCGCAACTGTCATCAACTCATCAACAACCATTGAGATATACCTCATCACAGCTCACTGACCCTCTCTTAGTTTGTTGTTGTCCAAATACAGTACTGCTATGACAGGGATTACTTTCTTTCCCCCTTTACTTGTCCCGGAGAAGTACTTCGAGGTACATGTACAGTACCTTGTTAGGACTACTATGATTCATAACCGCAAAGTCTCTGGATTTTAACCAAGGTCATTATCCAAGTAATTCACACCCGGTTCGGATCGACTGATTGCCCGATTAGGTATTCGTTGCCCTTTCCGCCCGGACCTCGTTTCCTTATGGTGTGTCAATGCAAGCTATCTACACTATGAGCGATAACTTGAGATTGAGTGACATCATGTTAAGTTCTTTTCAAGGATTCTCAGATGCCCCGCGTTTGAGATGTGTTCGCGCGGAACTACGGCTATCTTCAAATGATACACAGCCCTGCTGGTTGTTATGGTAGCTCTGCAGTAGTGTTTAGTACCATTCCTATACCTATCTTACATGGGAGGCCTATAGTATGATCGCAGCCGCATCCTCAACCCCTTGGAATTCTTCCCAGTCTTAGGTAGTCGAAGCGTTGCATTTCTCCCTCTTATCTGAGTCAAACTATCGGCCAGACCCGTAATCTATGCCTCGCACAGTCAAATCAAAGGTGTCGAGGAAGGTTTGGAAGATCGCGCGCCCCGAGGCTAGCGGGAATCCCGGGCTCGTCACCCCCTTACGTTTGTGCATCACAAGCTCAGGGCAGCTGTACGGCTGGGAGGTGGTAAGTCGCCGATACGGAGTTACACCATGTCCGTGCAGCTGCCAGATCCAGTAGCATTGTAATGCAGTCGCTGCTTAGGTAGGATCGATTATGTTTCAGAATGGCCTGGTTCGACGGTAAAAACACCCGGCCGTCGTAGACCAGAAAATGGGGGTTAGGAGGAGGAGGAGATGGAGGAGGAGGGGGGGGGGTAGTCCTAAAAATGCCAATCACTGCCATGGTGTAACCGACACTGAGCTCCATCGTGCAGATAGCGAGTTCTGGTAGGAGCAATTTTCTTCTCAGCTCGCTTGTTTAGGAAATTGATGCCTACCAGAAATCGCAGGAAAAGATATCCAGGGGAACCTTTTGGTGTGGAGTTCTGCTTTGTTTTTACACTCGCCCCCTCCACGATCCGCCAATAATAAGCTAAATGCCCTAGTTGACTAGGGAGACCGTCGCTGCATCTGAGGCTACTTGGACACGATCAGTAGGTAGGTCACCTGCAGGCTGCTGCGAGGTTGTGTAAGCGATCTGCGGCACGCAGCATCTGGTCACCACAGACGCTCCGAAAACATCCACGGGCCCACGCTCGATTCCGATACCCACGGAGGGGACCGTACCGCGATGGCCTCGCAGCAACCAGGCTCCAACACACGTTGAAGATTATGTGACGCGATGGGGCCTACCCTCCTTCAGGGATGCATAAGGGTGGTCAGAGTTGAGGAATGCGGAGCACAGCAGTCCTGCTCTGCCGCTATTATTGAGGGTGGTGGGGTTCTCTTTTGAGGGGTTCCAGAAGCTCCATCTCCCACCGCCTCTTTGGCGGACATGTGAAGTTGAGGCCGAACAGGTTATCACTGTCACTTACATACGTCAGTGGTCAGGCTCGCGCATACCTTATCGCTGCAGATGAATCATCTGCTGGCTTGGGTCGTGCTGGCAATGGTTCAGTTCAGCTTCAGCCAGGATGCAAGGCTACCGAACCTGTCTAGACCACATAGGTTTTTTGTGTAGCGGAAGGCAAAGGATGACTGACCTTCGGAGGAAATCCCGCATATTGCACTTGCTACACGCCGTGTAGTAAGTAGTAGTAGTACTAGGGGGTAAGGGAATGTATCTACACGGGGAAGCCGATAACTGTTCAGCGGGAAACGGGCAACACAAGATGGCCGCGCGATCACGAATCAGTTCGAAGGAACGAACCGTCGGCGATCAGCGGAAAGGGACCATGACATCATTGTGCAGGAAGCGCTAAACTGACTCCAGCCTCGATGAGGGTCTCTGATTATCTCCATCATTGGTTCGGCACGTGGCTGGAACAACTCTATCTGCCTCAGGCATCAGGAGTGTTTCTTTTTTAATCACGTGACAGAGAAACCCGGGTACTCGGAGAAACCTAGTCCCGTCTGGCTCTAGCGCGAATGGCTGCGGAAAGGAACGTCCCCAAGGGCCTCCATTCAGCTCTGTCGCTCCAGGAAATTCTAGGTCGGCGTCCATTGCCCATCTTACCCATTCACCGTCGGTATGGCTAGGAAACTTCGTGCGGCTGCTCAAGCAGCTGCGCAATCAATGCGTAAGTAATCTCCTCGGTTTTCACTGTACCCTTTCCTTGGCCGACGCGGCCTCGGTCGTCACGGACGCGAACAACTAATTACCCAGTAGGGAATGCCGCCCCTCCGCTCCCCGACGTCTCGGACGAGGAGATGATTGAAGCACCCCCATCGCGTGGATCGTCGCCAGCGATGGAAGATCCAGGTGATGCTTCCGATAAGGATCCTGAGGCGGAAGCTCAGGCAGAACCCAGCCAGGAGGAAGAGACAGCCGCAACGCCCGCCCAAGATTCGAACCCTCCATCGCGCGGCGACACTCCTACACGCATGGGTGGCCGCATGTCAGCCATCCCACGAAAGCGCCGCATAGGCCGTCCTCCGAAGAACCGTCCCCCAGACTGGGATGCGCCTGATGACGGCGCCCCTCAGACCCCGATCCATACGTCCACGCCGGTCAAGCGAAGGCGCGGTCGTCCCGCTGCTAGTGGTGGAAGATGGGCACGTAACCGGGGCCCGTCGCATGTTACCCAGGTTCCGATCGATAAGGAGGGCAACATGATGGATGTTATCGACGACGAAGTTGCTCTCCCAGACGACCCCGAGGGCGAGACAAAGGTGGACAAGAACGGCAACCTGCTGGGCGACCGAGAATATAGGGTCCGTGTGTTTACGATTCTCAACCGTGGTGATCGCAAATACATGTTGTCTACTGAGCCTGCGCGATGCATTGGTTTCAGGGACTCGTACCTGTTTTTCCAGAAGCACAAACTCCTCTATAAGATTATCATCGACGACGAGGCGAAACGCGATCTCATCGAGCGAGAAATTATCCCTCACTCTTACAAAGGCCGAGCTATCGGTGTTGTCACCGCTCGATCTGTCTTTCGGGAATTCGGTGCAAAGATTATTGTTGGTGGAAAGAAGGTCACCGATGATTACCATACCCAGGCCGCGAGGGAGCGTGGAGATGTCGAGGGCGAACTTGCCGTCCCGGAAGATAAGCTCCCTGCCCCAGGCGAGCCTTACAATAAGAATCAATACGTGGCCTGGCACGGTGCCAGTAGTGTCTATCACACCAGCGCTCCGTCAGTGCCGTTGCCCACCGGAAAGGCGGTGGATTCGAAGAAACGTAAGGTTACAGTTACTGGTGATAACTGGATGCTCGAACATGCCCGAGAGGCGAGGTATGTGATGACACGCTTGCCTGACGCTAGTTATATACTAACATGCTTGTAGCAACTTCAACTCTCTCATATCTCTTGCGCGCCGCGAAAACCTCGAAGGACAGTATGACATCCATACCAACGTCATGCAGTACCCCAAGATTATGCAACCGACGCACGCCCGCTGGGAGCGTCTGCCTCCTCCCGACCCTCGAGTTGCAACCAAATTAGCTCAGGGCATGTCCACCCTGAGCCTGACGAACGGCACCAGCGAAGCAGAGCCAGCCGCTGTTGACAGGGAAGCCAACGAACCAAGCGACAACCAACCTGAACAGCCAATCACCGAATCCACCCTCTTCTCCTCAGTTCCAGCTGCGATGTCCCGTCGATTCGCCATTCATGATATCCAGTTCGAATCTTCGCCGTATTCCAACCTGGGCGTTCCCGGCCCAGACGGCGATGTGCACGATCTCGGCTCCAACGGCCTAATCAGCGTTGCTGACTCCGCTAATCCCGAGTTCACGAGCCCCGAAATCCTGGAGGAACTTCCTCCCGAGTGCAAGGAAGCCCTCATCGAGGCTGCTGCGCAAGAATGGGAATGGAAATCCAAGTGGTGTCAAGAAGCGAACGACGGGGCTCGCGCCAAATTACTCAAGAGTTACGCCTGGTTTCCATGATGTGCACGCTTCATACCCCTTTTCTCACTCTCTTTACTACTCCTTTCAAGCCACTGCAGAGACTTTTCAAGGTCGTTCGCTACCTAATATACCACTTCCCCGCAGTGGCTTTACCATTCATCTTTTATTCCGGGGGTTCACGTATAACTAAGTAACTAACTGATTATTTCCATTTCACTTCGGCAAACACACACTCAAATGGGCGGGGGTTTTTCATTCCGGATGGGTCTGCGAGATCATTTACCAAAAACATGGGGAGTTTGAGCGTTTCAATATCTGAGTGTTTTACTTTTATCTTTTTCCTCAATTCTATTCTTATTACTTCATATCTTATTCTTAGCCATTTACCGTAAATCTATCTACCTTTATCTATCAAAATAAAACCTCATCCTAATCCTTATCACTGCGAGATTATACTTCCGACTTGGTCTACATGGATGGGAAGAGAAGAGGATCTTTTTGATTCACTATAGTTAAATAATAATATAACTACTTGATAATCTACCTTGTAACTAGTAACTTGACCGTACAGATAATCATTAAGGTTCGACTATACTATAAAAGTAATCAATCCTATGTTTTTCACTAGTAGGATTCTGCTAGGCTCCCACCGTTCCAGGTAAAGTTAGTTAGGTTAGTGGTAATAAATGTACATGCTTATGATGGATGCCTATATAGTAAGCAGGGAACGACGTGTGTCTGTTTATACTACCGTGACCACTACTACATACTACCTTTGTATTCATGATAGATGGATGAAAGGATTGGCTTCTAGGCAGCATAATTACTATATGTAGAAAGTAGACAAGGCTGTAGGACTAGATTTCAGGTATGATCATATACATAAGTATGATGTGTAGATAATACATTGACACCTGGAACAGATACAGTTTTATGTTTTCATGCATGAACAGAATATTAATGAAGGATCAGCTAAGCTACTCAATTCAACTCTACTACTAGCGGATGTATTCAATCACGATATAGAATCTGAACATAAGTAGACAATGATTTCATTCCATCATGCAAGGATTCAAGTAATAAGAAAAAAAATTAACTAACTCCAAGGGGCGCAAATAACGCAATCAATCAAAACGGTGGAATGGAGGCAGCACATGTTCTTTGACACATATGATTAAAAAGGGAAGAAGGAGAGGTGAAAGAAACCCGAGTCTGTAAGGAATTGGAGGAAAACGAAATAGCTAGTTGGCCAGTTATCCCATGGCCATTTCCGCACGTAGCTTCTCCAGTTCTGCTTCCTCGTCTTCTTCTTCGGTCTGGGGTTTGGATTTGACTGTTGCATATATGTTAGAATAATTTCATAGAGAGGAGGGAGGGACAGTGGCTTACTTTCTCCATTTGCCGCAGGAGGTAAACGATTGAGCTGGTCTGCAACCGGCACAGTACCTGTGTTGAGCATCCGCTCGTCCATGGCCTCCTGCTCCAAACCCTCGAGTTCCTCCTCCAAATCGGCCTCGTCTGGTTGATCGACCAGAGAGGTGCTTGTAATGGCTGTTGCGATTTCCGTGCTGAGTTGGTGCTGTTCGCGAAGTGTATCCCTAGTCCATAGTCAGTTGCCTTATTCCCATCACACAGACAATACCATAACGAAACAACATACATCGTCTCATCCACCTTATCAATCGTCATAGAGCCATGGATCTTCGCCATCGCCGCACCAGCCGCCTCCATAGCCTTCAAAGTCTCCTGGTTGATATTCGCCGCCTCGATCGAGTAAATCTGCTGTTCTAGCTGAACGATCTGCGCCGTCGTCTGCTCGAGGTTCTTCTCATGAACCTTCTTCCGTCGAAGGGCGTTCTTAGCCGCTATACAGATCAATAACCCGTTAGTCTTCATTTGTTGTTGCCTAGTTGACTGTTTTTCTGCGGTCACCTACCGGCCTTGTTTGACGTTACGTTCTTCCGAGCAATTGCATCCTGCTCCTCCATCAGATTCTCCAAGTGCTTCTCGCGCTTCTGGAGCATGTCCAGCTGCTCGCGAAGCATGAGAATCGCATTCTTGGGCGCATCTTTCCGCTTCTGAGCGGCGGATCCGCCGAACCAAGACCACATGTTGATAAGGGTGTATGAGGGTTGATTAGGCTGTGATAGAGGGTGGCTGCTATTGCGATGATCGAGGTGATGCTAGGGACTAGTGATTCGACGTCCGATGGGGGAAGTCGTTGGTGTTGAGTCGGGAGGAAGTGTAACGACGGGTTCTGGAATCGGTGGAAGGTGGGATGGAAAGAGATGATGGTCCGTGGCAACGGGGCGGGATCGGTGAGGGATCGCTGGACGGTGATTTATCCTGGTGAAGGGTGCGGGAGTCGATCAGCTCCAAGTCACCTAAGCCAGGTCGAGCAAGGCAGCGGTCCTTGATAAGCGACAAGAACAGAGAGAGAGTGTGTGTGATAAGGTCCGAGACGAGAGAAGAGCGAGCAAGAGATGGAGGAGATCCCCGGCCGGATTCAAGTTGGTTTTCCCCTCGTTGGCCCTATGACATACCGCGCTAAGCCTATCGGGGTGATATGGTCACGTGGATGGGGGTCACGCCGGTCATCGTATTTCACGGGTATTAATTATTTATTATTGATTGATTGATTGATTGATTGCCTTGTGATCGATCACTGCTGCCTCGAGATCATTCCTCTATACGATGGCCCTTTTTTAGGGGTCTATCTCACCTGCTGGAATGAACGCACCTCTTCCTTCTACGCGGGCATTTCTCTCCGATCTACCTTCTCTTCCAGTTAGCTCGAAGGTCCGATTTCTCGGTTGGTGCGTGGAGTTCCTTGTCTGTCTATTTGTATCTTATCATTCTACATGCTGTGTCCCGTAGACTATTTAGAGATACTTGCTTCTTTGCCTGCTCAGGAAGATAGTAGTAAAGAAACTGATTTTCTCAGCGTGAGGACATACAACATCCAAACGGGGCATCTCATCCTTGAACACAACTATCCGCGTCAGAAACCACCACAGGAACCACCCTCTGTTGCCGTTGATATCAACGCGGTGCTGGAGACAGTCACCTCGCAGGAGCTGTCCGTTGGCGCGTGGGTAAATGTGCTCGGCTATGTAAGGAGATATAGGAGAAGTGATGATGATTCTGCTGTTTCAGAATCAAATCCCAACCCAGTGTATGTGGAAGCCGTGATGGTGTTCCCAGCTGGCGCCGTGGCGTTGGGAGAGTATGAGCGAATCCTGCAGGAAGCGTTGGGCGTGGAGAGGAGGGTAAGGAGGACAGGGTGATAACCCATTTCAACATATTGATTAATGACTAGCAATTATTCAACTTTTTTCTATGTGCTATACTATGGTACCCGAGATCTTCAATCCATTACTTCGTGACACTTCCTGACAGACATGTACATATCCACATTATCCAGACCAATGTTTCCTTATAAGGTGAAAAAGTCAGGCTCCCCGTCCAAACTCCAACTGTGCGAGGATGCTTTTCTGCGCAAAAACTCATCTGTACTCCTGCGCTTAATGTCGATTTACTGTCACCAGTCTCGATCACACTCCTCACTCATACCTCCATCGTTTCCTTCTCCTCGATTTTCTCAAGATTCTCCACCTGCTGTGTATGGTGTTGGCGCTTTCCTGCCAATCGCCGCTTATCCTCCTGCATCCGCCGGATGAGCACGCTCTTCTCCCGGATCTTGTAGCCATACTTGTAGAAAATAAATGGGATCGGGACGATAGCCACCTCGAGCAAGCCCAAAAGGGTCCCAGACCAGTTAGGACCAATACCGGCATACATATACGTTCCAACAAGTGGCAAGACACCTCCCAAGATACTGCGGATCACGGAATTACCTGCCAGCGCGGATGCTGCATATACTCCGTAACTACCAGCCAAGTAATTGGTCGCGTAGATAAAAACGCCCGTGTTGCCCGTGCCGAAGAGTACACCTGCGAGAATCGGTACAATCCAAGGAATCGAGGCGGGCGAACAGGTCCAGGCGAACCACAATTCTCCAGCGGGAATCAGGAGCGCGCAGATACATACAAAGGCCACCATTGCTTCCGGGGGTGGTTTGCCTGTTTCGGGGTCCGGCTTATGACTGTTGATCAAGCGGCGGATCAAGGGTTCGCTGGAGATGGTAATCACGCATCCAGTTCCGATACCCAGGAATGCGAGGCCGGAGAGACCAAGTGACCAACCGCGAATATCCCGGAAAACGATAGGGTAGGCTGTGAAGCAGAGATAGAGGATGCCATACACGATGGCAATGTAAATATTCCAGAATATACTATATGAAAGGCACATCAGCTTTGAAGTGACAACGCGAGTACTGGTTCGGAAAGACTGACCAAATAGGCTCAGTGACTGCCATGACAAACGGACGGCCGAGATTTATCTTGAGCAGTTCACTCAGACTGGCCTTCTGTTCGTATCGACACCACCATCGTGAGTCGCCCGTTTCTTTCCTCATGCGGGCGGCTTTCTTTTGCAGGATTATGGGGCCATAAGTCTCCTTCATGATACATGAAAAGACCAACGCGACTCCAGACAATATCAGAGCGATCCAATCCATCCACCGCCAGCCCAGGTACTGGGTGACGAAACCTCCGATAATGGGTCCGAGGACTAGGGCAGGGTCAATAACAGGTAGGTTTTGGCGGGGGAGTGGTTATGCCTACCTGGTCCGTTCACGGGCCCGAGACTCCAAACCGACATTGCCAGCGCGCGCTGGTCATCTTCGACTATGTCCGCAACCATCCCCGGCGCAGTGGAAATCATTACACTTCCGAACAACGCTGCGATGAAGCGCACAACCAGCAGAGTCGCAAGGTTTTTGGCGAGCGCGCAAGGTATGATCAATACTGTGAAGATAAACAAGCAGGCTATGCAGACTGGCTTTCGGCCGTACAATTCGCTTAGTGGCGCCATAAACATGGATCCCACAGCCAGACCGATGAGGTACAGAGTCAATCCCAACGTAACGATGGTGGTGGAGGCCCCAAATTCAGCTGCAATCTGCGACTCTCCGGATGTGTACGATGTTGAGTATAATACGCTGAAAGGTATTAGCGTCGTTGTCGCTTAATGCGTATCTAGGCGATGCGCCAGACTCACATAATCAAGGTGTTGTATGATAGAATAGCGATTCCCATAGCTTTGTAGGGGAAGGGCCAGTTCTTCGGGTTATTAGTGTCGAACTCATCGTCCCAATCAACTTCATAGTTCGGGTCAGATGTGCCAGTCGTCCCTATAGATGTGACTCTTTGGGCTAGAGATGGTATCGAGGCTCGAGAGGCGCGCGTGGGAATGTGCGCCAGGTCATCCACTTGATCGATAGTGTCCTCGGATGAGCCTGATACTGCGTATGATTGTGCATATGTGGAGGTGGGCCCCTCTTTGCTATCCCCTGGGCCTGCCGGGGGATCTGAAGAAGGAATTTTGGCTGAGGACATTTCGTGGCGTCAATTAGAATTCGGTCCGTGACCCAGAGGGGGAAGATCTCTCCACAGCTGGAGCGAGTACAGCCGATACAGCTGATATAAACCTCCTAATCTATTATATAGCTGCGGTGGAGGAGTAATATGAAAGAAAATTAAGATAGAGCGCGCTGAAATGCGCTGCAGCTACTATATAATGACTCGACAAACTGGCTCTTGGACTCGCTCGTGCTCCCGATTCAGCAAGAGTAAGAAAGACAACTGTATCCAATGCGACAGAAACTCAAGTAGAGGATTGCTCCCAAAATTCTCGAACTGTGAGCGATTTCAAGTTGTAGCGCAGCAGACATGGAAACCAACAAGACGAGTACAAATGCTGGGAAGGAAGAAGACAATTTTTGAGTGATAGACGTTGGGAGTTGCAAGATAAAGCTTAGCGGGATTTGTATTCTGAAACGCATACGATAATGTTTAGCAACGAAAACTAGTGAGTCAGTGACATTAGGGGAAAGAAAAGAGGGAGAGAGAGCGCGAGAGCGAGACAAAAGCGAAGACACTCAAAGTGGGGGCGCCGGACGAGAACAGTCGGCAGGAGTGCGACTGATAAGCCCTCGGTCTTCCTCCACCGGATCTTCTTCGACTCTTGCCAAGGAAAAGACAGGTGCTGATGGACATTGCACGAGAACTAAATTTGATACGTTCACCGCTAGGCACTCAACTAACAGTCATCTGCATCTTCCACGTTGAGTTGCCAGATCCGCTGCCTAGACGAGTTGTGCTGGGGTGTCCCCTAACTGACGATCCGGATACAGTAAAACAGACAGGCTATGAATTCCTTCTAGAATTTGGATATGGGAATCCATGGTTAGACGCGGCTGATGATCCCTATTATTGACTAGCCGAGGGAAGTCGCATGTCCATTCAGTGAGTTAATACCCTTTTTAGTCCTTACTATATACTACCCAGTCGTGTTGGGGGGAAATAATGCCTCAAGTGACTGACCTCTCTCGCAGCACGGACTGGCATGGCGTTACGGTGTAGCAGGAGAATTCTGATTCAAATTGCGCTACGGCATACGAGGCCCGCCCAATCGCACTTAGTTCATACCTAAAGCTGGCTATTCGTCACCTACTGGGTGTGATCTGCATAAGACACAGTGTGATGCGGAATCATGGGCATGCATCGCAAGTTTACCAGTGTCTCTCTGCATGGATACCTGTCGTGACTATGGCAGTCACTAACAGACCCTGTTTCGCCAGGCTGATCTACCTACCCCAGGATCCCTAATTTGCTCCAGATGGGGAGAAAACTGGAGATAAGTCCTGGACGTCACCACCGCATGAATAAGCATCTCCACTGCGGTGGATTTCTGGCGAAAACGGCAGATGCACAGTCGCAAACGAAGCCCAGTCCCCACCACCATGTCGGAAGACGATAATTCTGAACGCGTCCAGCTCCACACCAACGAGGAGAAGCATTTGCGTCTTCCTTACCCTGAGGGAGCCAGTCCACTAGAAAATGTCAAGCACAGGGCGGGGGAGGCCTTCGAGGCTAAAATGGGGTTGATGCTTGCCCATGACCCAGTCACAGTTCAGGGCTCGGTTCCGAGTGCCGCCCGTGCCGGTTTGCCGATGAAACTCTGGCAACAACCAGGACGATCCTGTGCGAAACTCTGTTTTTGCGATCCAGAACGTCTGCGCCCCTTCTTTTTAGGTATCCATGCTGATTCTGGCGGCCACCACCCAGTGGCCCGTGTTCCGAGCGGACGTTGCAGGTCCAAATATGATAGGTAACCATGCCGTCATCTATATTCATCTCGAGAGAGAAAATGATTTGTCTCTTCAGTGCTGGCAATTGCGCAGTTCCTGCGCGAGCCCAAAGAGGTGACTCGACACGTGCCAAGACCAGCCCCATACCATTCTTCTGAGGAATGTGAGGATCCGTCAGACTATGCTACCGAGAATCAAGGATGGTGCCCTGTATACTATCATGTTCTGGTAAGGATAAGGACCTATATCTAGGGATCCAAAATGCAATATTTGAGACAGTGGCCCCGGTGGGAAACTCATTGCACGGGCCATGCAAGCGACGGTACGAATGTTTTGGTGGCCATAGCTCCAACTTCAAAGGCACGAGGGCGACCAAATGGAGGGAGGAGCATGTATGCCAATGCCGTCAGATGCTGGAGTAGCGAGGAAGAGCCACTTACTAAGAACAAGCATGCTGGGGGCTTACTGTGTATACATACTCTTTCATCCTTAATCCCTAGGTAACCGACTGGGTTCATCAGGAGGCACTCGCGTGAGAACCCACAGTGTATGTTTGCTAGGTGATAGTCCGTTGCAGGCGATAATAGTAAAACACAGTTCTTATCGGTATACCTTTGTATAAGCCTCCCAATTCATCTCTATCTCGGCCATATCGTAGAGGGAGAGACAAGCTCGGAATTGCGGAGATAAGCCCGACCCACCGCTCGGAAAGAATACCGAAATGGCTGTTGAATCTTCTACCAGACAAGAATCACAATCACGAAGTAGTAAACCCTGCAATATGATTCCTATATGATAAGTCAAGCGTAGTCCTGAATACTACAAGCAAGATACTATCGCCTCAATTGTGATAGAAAATGTGCACAGCATCGGATCTACTATGAATTGGGTGCTTACAGACACCTGCAGCATGCATCGTCCAATTAAAGAGCGTGTACGGAGTACTCTTGGCTGTATTAGAGTATATGGCAGTTGAGATGCTTACAATTTACCTTCTGAATCACAAAGATTGAGCCTTTCGGCTGTCAATAAATCCGGTCATATACAATGTCTCAGCCCCTGACCGCGCCATCAGATTTTCCGAAGGTGTCACTAATAAACCGAATCGGACCATTTTGCTTGCTTTTGCCCCGGCGCCGGGCACGTGGAGGCCATCTCCTGCTAATGCAACTCGGAATCAAGCGATGCATCAAATTTATCGAACCGTTTTTATGCTTTAGTGGCTGGTTGACAGAGAAACTCTCTTCTTGATAGGTTCTTTACCCCTTAACGAACTTACACCTGGCCAGTGACCGAATGACATGTGGGCCTGACTCGTCTAACCGAACGGTCCAATCCCGAACTATTAATCTCCGTTCGCTTGGATTCCTGAGACCCATGGATGGTGGCTTTAAGGCTTAGCCACGCGAGGTTGTAAGTTAGTGATGAGATTTATGGCTGAGCGATACTCCTCGTACCTGAATTAGATCGATTTTCAATCATCTCTGTTGCAACAGCATTGCTTTCTTGTACGATTGCGAAGGGATAGATCTACAGAGCAAAATTGCTAACTTCGCTGCAACAAACAAGATCTGACTGTCTTTTATCCTGCATACCCCCTTTACTACACGTCTCAGTCTAGAGCTGCCATTTAGACATGTTCTCAGAGATCGCCGTTGCCTCCGGACTAGCTGTCCTTTATCTCTACCACGTCAATCGTGGTATGACAGGGACTCCGGAGGAAGTAAGCCGGCTGTCTCCTCATCGTTGGACCGTCGATGAAATCAAAGCAGCATACGAGGATTCTATTCGAAACCCGGTCGATGTGCAAAAGAGTCTTCCCCCGAAGCAAAACCGGCGCTATATCGTGGTTGGTGGGGCAGGTGCGTTCTAGCTATAAAAGGCATCCTCATGATATACCTCAATGAGACTGCCTTATGCGATACCCATATTTACAGTTCCAAAGCTAACAGTTCCAGGCTTCGTGGGAAGTTGGATGGTAGACCATCTGCTCGCTCGCGGCGAAGACCCGTCAGCTATCCGTATCTTGGACCTTGCAGAACCTCGTCGCGAGATTCTCGACCAGGGTGTCGCTTTCTTCAAGACAAATATTGCCGACGAGAAGGCCGTGGCCACTGCTTTCGCACAACATTGGCCGGAAGCTGTCGCTGACCGGCCCCTGACTGTCTTCCACAATGCCGCCGTGATCAGGCCTGGAGAGCGTCTCAAGACTTTCCTTCCCCGTTGCACCGACGTTAACGTGGGCGGCACAGTCAATGTGCTGGCTGCGGCGAAGAAAGCCGGCGCAAGCTGCCTCATCTCGACATCCTCAGGATCTGTCAGTCTCCGTAGTCAATCCTTCTGGATCGCACCCTGGAACAAGTCCCCCAAGGGTCATGTCCAGGTAGTCGATGACTCGACCCCAGTCCCGGAAGAACACTACGACTTCTTCAGCAACTATGCCGCCTCCAAATCCAAGGCTGAGAAGATCATCCGCGCCGCCGACGATCTTGAAGGAAACTTCCGCACAGGCTGCATCCGGCCGGCGAATGGCATCTACGGGATCGGCGACACGGAAGGTTCTCTCACCACATCATATCTCAGATCCGGCGGTTCCCCTGCGTAAGACATCCCTACTAGCCTACTAGCCCCCAATAACCTTTGCAGAAGATCAAGGACTAACAACCCTATCAGCTGGCTCATCGACACCATGCAAAACTTCGTCAACGCCGAAAACGTCTCCATCGCCCACCTTCTCTACGAACAGCGCCTTATCGAGCACACCAACAGCCCAACCACACTCCCCAATATCGGTGGCCAATCCTTCCTAGTCACAGATCCCAACCCTGCCCCCACCTACGGCGACGTCTATCTCCTCCTGCACACCCTCTCCAAAACACCCGCTAACTTCCCTCGCGTCCCACCCGTCCCTTTCCTCATCCTGTCCTACCTCATCGAATGGTACTCCTTCCTGCAGGTCGTTTACTTCCCCTGGCTCCCTAGAATGACCGGAGATATCGCCAAGATGCAGCCTGCTCTTTTCTCCATTACCAATGTGCATTACATTGCGGATGATTCGCGTGCGCGCAAGTCGCCAGAACAGGGCGGGCTCGGGTATGCGCCTCCGATCACGACCATGTATGGTATGTGCAAGCACCTGGAGGTGTGGAACCGCGAGGCGGATCAGAAGAAGGTTGCAGAGGTCGCAGAGGTTGCGGCAAAGGGGGTGGTCAGTGTGAGTGAGGAGGGTGTGGATGTGAATTTGGTGGTTCCTCCGGAGAAGTTGTAGTTCATTCCAGATTATGCATGGATGTCTGTTTGTATTTCAAAAGATTGTATTACTATCGAGAAAAACTATCATTTTATTGTATTACTGCTGAACAATTTATCTGAATTCAACGACTTATGTAAATTTCACACTACTCAATCAACTGAAACAGAGTATACTATAACTAAACAACACCCCACCCACCCCAACAAGGTATACTCAACTCACAACCTCGACAAAAACGTCACCTCCCCAGGCGCATGATACTCGGGAACCTTCATATCCAACGCCTTACCCGAGTAACCCAGATCCTCAGCCGTCAAGACAGCGCATTTCTCTCCGATAAGCAGGGCGGTCTATAACACCCACCACACATTAGCATAGCCCACTTGATCCACTGCAGAAAAAGAATGGAAAAAACTACAAAAACAGGGGGAAGGAAGGGGGAAAGGGAAAGGGGGAACTGACACTATAAGTATTACACCCCACATTATCCGGACAAATGGACAAATCAGCCACCTTAAGCCCCTGCACACCATGCACATTGAGTCGTTCATCGACGACTCCCCCGTGCGGCGTGAGGTTGTTGCCTTCGCGGGGCGCCATGCTGCAGGTTCCGAGGGAGTGCCAGGTTGTTTCGACGTGGCGTTGGACTATCATTCATTCAGTCATTAGTCAGTTTAATGGTATGGGATTGTTAGAGGGAGGCGGGCTGTGTAGGAAGGAAGGGAGGGATACGCACCCCACTTCTCAATATGTTCGATATCCTTCTTACTATACTTCATCTCCTCCCTGGTATCCTGTCTATTGGAGTTAAGCCTCGTAGGCGATGCGGGCGAAGTGCCTGGTTCGAGGGGTTGGGACCAGGACCCTTTACATAACGTCAGTAAGTATTCTTTTCAAGTGGACTAGTCCACCTGGCTAGATGCAGGGAAGAAGGGATGTGTGACATACCATGCTGAATCCCAGCAGAAATATGATTCGGTCCCGCATACGCCTTCGTCGTCTCCAGGTCCAGATCGAATGCTCGCGCGGGCGAGTCATACGAAAAGTGAGGGTGCATGCCTGTCACTTCACCTGCGTAGGCGCCCATGCGTCGCGCCGTTTCGCGCGATTTGATGTATCCCCAGACCATGGGGGCCATGTCGCGCTTGTCGTTCATGAAGCCGGCGTCGAAGTCGGGACTTTCGTAGGGGTCGGCGGATTGGATGTGCGTGGAGCCCCGAGAGAAAGGGTATTCCTGTTGATTGATTGATTAATGAGTAAGTTTGGGATGGATAGTGGTGGTGGTATGGAGGGAGGGATACTCACGAGGAAGTGGAACATGGTGAAGAATTTGCCTGGGGGCATGAGCATGTGGTCGCCGAACCAGCTATCAAATGTCAGTAAATATCTTGTATATGTTTGGGGGTATGAGGGGATTGGTAGCTACCCAGCAATAACAGAGTAATGCATCACCGGCTTATCCGGCTTATTCTTAAAGTAACTCTCCCAGCCCTTATAGAAGTCATTCGTGGGCCAGCTCTTCATCTCTTCCAGTTCCTTTGCATCCGGCCGGATCTTCACGCCGGCTTCGATGCCATTCGTCGCCAGAGGTCCCGTGCCCTTGATGTTCCATTCCTCGAAGACCTTCTTCTGCACTTCGGGGTCTCCGCGGACGAAGTCATCGAAGGACTCGACTTCAGGCTTCGCCCGGAAGACGGAGAATGTCAGGTAGTGGTCTTGGAAGTTCCGTCCCACACCGGGGAGGTTCACGAGAGGCTGCACGCCAGCACGA